AGTTAAACATATTTAAAGTATTCAGGCATTATCCTTTATGCTTTAAGAAAGTGGCAATTTTAATGAATAGATTAAAAAATATATAGTGTAATGGTTAGTGGTTTTGAACTAGAAATCAGGGAACTAATTTTGAAATCTTTTTGAGTTCATTACATTCATTTTCTTACAAACACTTTTGGGAAAGTTATGAATCAATCACTTCCCCCCTATATAGATTAAATAGCAGTACAGTATGGGCTCTATAGCCCTGACTGGCAACCAGTTTAGAAGGAAAAGTCTGAATTCAAAATTCAGTCACCTGAAGCTGGTGTAGATACCATGTCTATAAAACAAAGTAATGATAGATTTCAACAACTATGACTGATTCCACTTGAGAGTGGTTATCCAAAATGCTGTTGATATCAACAGACATTAAAACCAAAGAAGGTGGATGGATGGATTTAAACATATATATGTATTTACTTTAAGTAATAATTAATTCTTTAGTTAATTATTCATAATTTAATTAGTACTTCTTGTTAATTAAATAAAAGAATAAACAATGAACAAAACAAAATGATCTTCTAATTTGCATTTCTACCTTTATTTCAGATTTTGAAAATTCCTTTAATGAAATGTGTTGTCGTTTTGAAGACCGGTTCTTGAAAGATTTTTCAGTGTTGACAGAAGTGCCCAACTATCCAAGTGTTAACAAAATCTTCTTATTAGACTTGTCATCTCAGGTGAGGGCAAACAAGTTGGTCTTTATATTTATTAACTTTATTTGACTTGTAAATTTAATTTCAAGATTAACTATACTCTTATAGGAGTTTTTTTTTTTTATCACAGAAGATACAAAATGGAGATTTCCTGTATACTTATTTAAATGTTGCTGGAAACATGAGAGTTTGAAAAGTTTTACATTTTTGGTTGAATAACCAGTTTTCTGAGATGGACATTTTATCATATTCAATTCAAAGCAGAATTCTAGAAAATATAAATTCAAAAAGTGAATTTTTGAATAAATTTTATAAAAAAAATAAGAGTAAAAACATTTTTTTTTGTATTCAAATATTTAAATTATTATTACAGACCAAATAACTAAATGCATTTTATAGCAAAGGTACATAATTCAAATAAACAATTGGTCACTGAGGCCAGTGCTACCAACAGTTGTCAGGAATTGGGCAATTTTTGTTCCTGGCCTGAGTATACATGCTTGGGTTCCCCACATTAAGCCTGACCATGTGTCACATCCCATCTCAATAGGGAGACATTAGGTAAATAACCCAATTGGTAGATTATTAATTAAAATAAATCTATTTAAAACTAGATCCTACATACACTAGAGGAATGTTAGATAAAGGACCAAATGAAATGTTTTGAAAAAAGTAAATAAAGAAATAAAAGCAAGAGTTAAATAAAATTATTGGAAGATTTTTGGGAATCAATATTACCAATCAGATCCTAAGGATTCTTGTAAAATCTTATTTATTCTTTTGTTCAATTTTTGAATTTTCCATCCTAAAGTTGATATTTTTCAAGGTTGTGCCATTAATCTTATAAACTTATAATAACTCTTCAAGGATATTGTTCAAAGGTTTACATTGAAATTAATATTAATCTGTTGTGATTAAATAAACTATTTCAATACATATGACTTTCTTATAAGTATTTACTTGAGAGGAAAAAAACAATGCCACCATTATGAAAATAATAATTCTTCTAACAAATCATTTTGTTTTTAAAAGTAAATACTATTTCTGAAGTTATTGCATAGTTGTTTTTTATGTTTGTTACAGATGTCCCCTGATGAGTGGTCTCATATTCAGGAGAGTCTCATGCTAATGATGGACAACATGTGTCTGGGTAATGAAAGTTATAAAGAGACAGAACAAGAATCAGATGGTCAGATGGTCACCTTGATGTCTAGTGACGGTAAAGTGAAACATTACCATAAAGAGTCCCTTGAGGTGGAGAAAATTAAGCAGGATATTGTTCATTTACAAGGCCACAAAAGGATCAGTTGTACAACAACCTTGCTGAAAAAAGCATACACTTACATTGACCAATATTCTGGTAAAATATTCTTGTTTTTTGTTATTGTTTTTACTTGGGCATACATTTTAAAAATACTTTTAATAGAAATAGCAGTCTTTCAAAACAAAGTAAAACAAATAAAGACATTCACTAAAGAAACTTCATGGTAAAAGCATTTAATAAACAATATTTTAGAATTCACTGTAATTGCTACAGATTTCTGATTATAAAAATACTAAATCATACTGTCTGCAGTCTATTTCACCCTGGTATATTATTATGATATTTAAAAAGTTAATCAAAAGCTTTTATAATCCCAAACTATGAAAAAATAATTTTGAATTGATTTGGTGTCCATAACAGCATTACCAATGTAGATTATTATCAGACCTAGTTGTTTTATTAAATTAAAAAATCTTCAACTAAAATTAGTTTGGTAGTTGAAGGTATACTTTGGTGTTTTTTATTATTATGTCTGTAATTTTATTTTTAAAACAAAATAACATACACATTCCTTAAAAATAACATACACATTTTTCCAAATGTGTAAAATTTACAAAAAGAAATATTTTAAAAAATAAGAGATTTAATTAATGTAAAGCAAAACAAGAACAACAATAGTAAAACTTGAAACAGAAATTTGCAAAATAGACTGAAAAAATATGTTCTATATAATACATTGGTTAGGCATATAGTAATTCAAACAAAATATTATAGGAATGTAAGAGGGATTTCTTACAAAACATTATACTCAAAGCATTCGTTGTTTCTCATAATAATAAAAGAATTAAAGAATGAATTAAAGAATGCAGTTCAGATTAAGTGATAGATTATTATGTAGACAAAAATATATTGAAAGTGCATTAATTTCAGACTCTTCTACAGTAAATTTACATTTAGGATCATACAATATACAGTAAGTCCCTGAGTAATGAGGGTCCCAACCTATGACAATCTATGGTTATGACACAATGTCCATTAATCTTGTTTCAGTTTATGTAGTTTGTCTCATACATATAATGTCAATGACATAGAAGAAGAATACATTTATTTTTCTTTTTTCCTCATATTTTCTGCTGCTCCCACTTTTTACACTAAGATTGATTTTATCCAGTAAAAGCATTATTTGTTTGAAGAAGTTCTTCCTTCACATGAAATGTGTCATTAATAAGTTTTTCTAGTTTGTCATTCATTTTCCCACTATTATTCTGATATATATATATATATATATATATATATATATATATATATATATATATATTTCAATTAAAAGGTGCAAATATAATTTATAAATTCATGAATCATTCATACAAAAAAACAAATATAGAACCTGTATATGAATGATATGATCCCTGTTTATAAATTCCAGTTGCATAAGGTCTTTTTAGTTTTTTTACAAGCTTTCGTCTGTTCCTACACATCATCAGGTATGGAAGTAGATTTTGTTCTTGTTTTTACTTCTCTATTTTCGTTGTCCTCTTATTACTGTTGGAGAATGAAGAGTGCTGAATGAAAGTCATTATGGCAAACATATTGAAGCAGGTAAGCCTTGTAAAATTATGGTAACAGTGAATGGGTTCTCTTGTATCATTGAAGAAAGTTAAGTGAGTTTGTTTCATATGTCCAAAAGTGTTAGTTTTACGTTTTGCATGTTGCTCGGTTGTATTGGTTGACCATGTGGATCATGTAGTCTAAAGTTCTCTTCATGTTGAAAATGCTAATTGTTCTGCTTGATCCTCAGGGGCGTACCCATGCAATGTGCTCCCCCCCCCCTCGGGGGCCCGTATTCATAATGGCACCCACTTTTTTGGAGGAAAAAATATAAATGAAATACCCTTAATGGCGCTGATTAGTACTTGAAAAACAACAAATTCAAAAATTATCTTAACAAATGTTATCAAATTTTAACCTTTCGAGCTTTTGCAGAAGCAAAGTCTATCTTCTCCAGTTTCATATTCAATTGAAATGAGGGTCAAATTGGATAAGCGATCTTGCGACATACTCGATTTTAAGTGACTATTAATGAGCTTCAGTTTTGAGAAGCTTCTCTCTGCGGTAGCAACAGAAACTGTGAGCATCAAAAACAGCTGTACAGTAATCACAATATTTGGCACTGTTTCTTGAACTTGCCATCGATAAATCCATCTCAGCCATTAAATAGCCGACGATTTGGTCATCATGGTCATGTCACGTTCCACTTTGGAAGCTGCCGCTAAAAAATCCCGAAGTCGTAGAACTTTCAAAGGCTGCCTAGTGTTGCGGGGCCAATAAGGATGTTGCCCCCGCAAGCTTTATGAAGAAAAGTGTGAACAGCCAAGACAATGAAGGGACAAAGGCAAAGGTTTTTGGAACAATAATGTCGAATTTATTAATGCGTTTAAATCGGTGTTGGGTCCGATATGACTGGTTTGTTGTTTAGGGTAGCTTTCGGTCGTATAGAGTTGATCGGCGAAGACTTCTCGCAGGTGTTGCCTGTGAGAATCGGCGTCTGTACTGGCCACCAAGATGTCGTCGATGTAAGCGTATACGTGCGGAAGTCCGCGCAGGACTTCGTCTATGAGCCGTTGAAGGTCTGGGCAGCGTTACGTAGATCGAACGGCATTTTCAGAAATTCATATAGGCCAAACGGTGTTGTGACTGCCGTCTTAGGGACGTCTTCCGCAGCGCAACGGGGATCTGATGGTATGCCTTTGTCAGGTCGATTTTTTTTTAAGATGCGAGCACCCACCAGTCCGGATGCAAAATCATGGATATGAGGGACAGGGTATCGGTCTGGTACGGTCGATGCATTTAATTTTCGGTAGTCGACGCATATCCGAAATTTTTTTACCTCCAGGTTTAGGCACTAAGTGTAGTGGCAAGGCATAAGGGCTATCGGAAGGACGAATGATGCCATCACTGAGCATTTTGTCGAATTGCTCCTTGGCGTACGCCAGTTTGTGCGGAGCGAGTCGTCGCGGATTGGAGTGTGCGGGAGGACCTCAAGTTCTGATGTGGTGCTGAGTCTGATGGTCACCTGAAGCCGTTACTTGGAGTGGCAGCGTTATATCCGTGAACTGTGTCAGGAGATCTAAGTACTCGCGACCATGGCATGTTGCGACGCTGATTTCTGTGGAGCCTTGACGTGTAGGGGTACCTAAGACACGGAGATTCGTAGTCGTATCGAACAGAGTCCTAGGGTTCATATGGACCGCCAGTGCGTAATGCGCCAGGAAATCCGCGCCGAGGATGGGTACCTTTACGTTGGCCACGGTAAATGTCCAAGTGAAATCACGTCGCATGCCGATATTCAGAGTAAGGGTCCTTTCTCCGTATGTGTCTATCGCGGAACCATTCGCAGCTCGTAGTTTGACCAGGGTGGGCTTAGCGGTGTGGTCGTTCTGATAGGGTACCACGCTGATGGCCGCACCTGTGTCTACTAGGAATTTCAATTTGTTCCGTCGATCCCAAACGTAAAATAGACGACATTGAGTGTTGGCACCGGAAGAGTTAGTCGTCGCGACTCTCCGGTTTATTCGTTTCCCCAGGCCGACGGGTGTGTACAGGGAGGTTTACAATTCCTGGCCCCATCGCCGAATGTGCGATGAAACCAACAGACACCCTGGTCGCTTTGCCGTTCTCGGCTGGGGGTTTGCCTCCGTCGAGATGGGGTCGATTTTCTCGTCCGTGGGCGCAGGGAGATCTGGATCTCTCGAATTTGTTGTTGAAGGTCGGCCAACGCCTGTTCTGTTTTACTCGGCTCGTAGCGTTCGTGCTTTGCTATGTCGGGGACGTGAACAGCGTTAACGCTGTGGTCAAACTGCGCAAAAACTAGATCAGCAGATTCTGCCAAATCATCCAGAGGCGTGGCTCTCGTCATTGGTGCGATAATTTGAGCGACTGATTTGGGCAAATGCTCCAGCCATAAACCTCAAAGAACCTTCTCTGACACATTGTGCTTTCCCAGCTGGTTCCTCATATATCTGAGAAGCTGGGATGGCGTCTTGTCACCTCTAGTGACGTTCCGTAGTATTTCCTGAATCATATCTTCCTCGGAACGTCCGGTCCGCTTGAGGATCGCTTCCTTTAAGTGATCGTATGGTTCATGTTCGCGCAAATCGGAGAGGACGTCAGAAATTTCGTCCATCATATCGGATGGGAGTTTCTGCATTACGTTCGCGAATCTGGCTCGCTGTGAAGTGATGCGTAACATTGACAAGATGGATTCTACCTGCAAGAACCAGTTCTTGGCATTATGGTGGTATGCAGGCAGAGGTATGATCGTGGCCGTCATATCTAAAGAATCACTTTTGGCCGACTCCATCATCGCTTAGCTGTCTCACGTCGGGAAATCACCACTTGTTGCGGGGCCAATAAGGATGTTGCCCCCGCAAGTTTTATGAAGAAAAGTGTGAACAGCCAAGACAATGAGGGGACAAAGGCAAAGGTTTTTGGAACAATAACGTCGAATTTATTAATGCGTTTAAATCGGTGTCGGGTCCGATATGACTGGTTTGTTGTTTAGGGTAGCTTTCGGTCGTATAGAGTTGATCGGCGAACGTAGCTGGTTCGGTCGTATAGAGTTGATCGGCGAACGTAGCTGGTTCGGTCGTATAGAGTTGATCTGGTCCGGTCGTATAGGGTTGATCGATGTCCCTAAACAGGGCCAAGACTGAACAGTGATAGACTTCACAGGGCGGATCGACCGCGGAAACGGGATCGCACCAAAGTGTACCACTTGGCGAAGACGGAGTCCCTAAACAGGGCCAAGGCAGAATAGTGATACAACTTCACAGGGCGGATCGACGGCGGAAACGGGATCGCGCCAAAGTGTATCACTTGGCGAAGGAGGTCAGAGAGGTGATACGTCTTCCAGGGCGGATCGACCGTGGAGACGGGATCGCGTCGAAGAGTGAAACTCTCGACAAAGCACCGGAAGCTCACAAAGGCAGCGTACTACACTTTGATCCAGGCCCCCGGGCCGAGCAGCTTAGTATTTATCAATCCACCCACGAGGATAGAATGTGGCACAAGGCCGGTTTAATGTGGGTATCCTCGAGCCCGTAGGCTCGGCCAAAAATATAGCCTTTTTGAACCCGCCTTGACGGATTCAGGCCCTGTCTACCTCCCCGAACGAAACCTTGCCCTTCGGCAAAGCTTCGTCCGGGTTCCTCTCTGCTAATGCAGAGAGTTCGACAGATGCCGACTCGGAAGCTCACAAAGGCAGCGTACTACACTTTGATCCAGGCCCCCGGGCCGAGCAGCTTAGTATTTATCAATCTACCCACGAGGATAGAATGTGGCACAAGGCCGGTTTAATGTGGGTATCCCCGAGCCCGTAGGCTCGGCCAAAAATATAGCCTTTTTGAACCCGCCTTGACGGATTCAGGCCCTGTCTACCTCCCCGAACGAAACCTTGCCCTTCTGCAAAGCTTCGTCCGGGTGCCGACTCGGAAGCTCACAAAGGCAGCGTACTACACCTTGATGTATTTATTGTATCGAAAAATACAATTGTGGCACAAGGCCTGAAAAGGGGAGGGGTTGAGGCTCGTCTTCACTGACTATCCTATACCTAGCTAATCCGATTCACGACCCATTCACTCATTACAATTTGCCCACTCACCACAAGAACTCATCCATCACCAAACAATCCTCCTTACACCATAATACCACATCCTCACAAGGGGGGGGCTACAAAACGCGCCCCATACCATTAAAAATTTAATGATAATTGTATATATATAAAAATCTCGTGATGAGGGATGAGAGGGGAGGGAGATGAACCCAATAATAAACTGAAAATATAGACATAAGTCAAATTGAACATAACTGATGTTAGTAGGGCCCGTCCAACCCTCAAATACAAAGAGGCCGCTGTATTCTGCCCATGGGACAAAATCAAGAAGCTCTCTCACTAAGGGTGTGGGGAACGGATAAGAAAAATCGTACGGGCATGGGAGAATATAACGCTGACCCAGACGAGATAAAAAAGGGGGCTACCAAAAACAAACTGGGGAGGTTGGGAATCTCAAACTGGATCATAACCAAAGAAGTGGCCAGGAACAGGCCGGGAAGCACATTTACTCACATTAACTAGGTACACCAAAGCTTGTCTAACCTAACCAGGGGGAGGGCTCCTCAGGAAACCACCCCGATGTGACGTAGGCTTGACCTAAAAGAGAAAAACAAGGCTAGCCCCGTTCAAACGAACCAAGCTTGCCTCTTTCACCCACCTTTCGCTGAAGACTGTCGAATGCAATCGTTTTCTATCAGTTCTAATCTTCATCTTGAGCTGATGCTCAAAGAATCAGGCCAGATCCTGATGAGAAAGACGGTTGCCTCGCAAGACTTCCTCCTGTCGCGTCGTCCAAATCACCATTCGAGCCGTGGTTAGCAGCGTGAGAAACACCATCCGTTTCACCCCAGAATACGGGGGCGACACATTGTCACACGCGTATGCGCGATCAATGGGCACAAGCTTTTCGGGAGCGAGACGAGCCGTCAGCTCGCCGACACGGTCCCATAGGGGCGGACCTGGGGACAATGGTAGAAGGCGTGCGAAGCCGTTTCTTCTAAACCAAGGCCACACCGTTCACAGTCTGGCAAATCCGCCAAACCCCATATGAAGACCTTGTCATTGAGAGGCAGCCGATTCCGAGCCAATCGCCAGGTAAGCGAGAAAACTCAGGGTTACTGAGATAATCCGCCGCTGGCGCCCAAGACCAGTAAGAGCGAAACTCCTCCTCCGACAAGTCGAGATCCTCACGTAGGGGATCCTTCGCGACCCCCTCCACTAACAAACGATAGAAGACCTTCCTAGGCCGAGAAAGGTCACTGAACCAAGGGACAGCCAACAAGGCCGACCGACACTCGCGAAAGAAAACCGATTGAACCCGGGGTTTACGACGGCGATCCACCCGCGAGCTTGGGGGACTGATGGTAAGGCGAGGGAAGGCGGCCCTCACAATCCCCTCAATAATCGGATCTCCACCTGTCAACGCGTGGCGTAGGAAAGCCAACCTCGAGTCACGTTTGTGGCTCAGCAAGTGTGGCATTCCCAGCCCCCAATGACACGGACGTTGTGCACAGACTTCTCTGTCGACCAGATTCCCGCGTCCCCTCCATAAGATGGAGGATAGCGAGCGCTCGAGCGGCTTCTTATGGTCGTCACAGAGAGGAAGTACGGACAATCGATAAAGGACAAGAGGGAAAAATGTATGTAGCACACACCTCCGCCCTGCCCTTCACGGACAACCTCCGTCGACGCCAAGTCTGACCGGCGGCGTTGACCTTTGCTCGTACCTCAGACCAATTCTTCTTCAGCTGGAGGTCGGGTCCAAACCACACTCCGAGAATGCGGACAGGACCGTCCGTCCAACCGAAGGGCCCCGGAAGATCGACCCCCTTCCAGGAACCTAGCCGCAAGCCGGACGACTTGTCGCGGTTAATCTTGGCCCCTGTCACCTTTTCGTACCGATCAAGCGCCTTCAGTACCGCATCAATGTCGCTGCGGGACGACACGAAAGCAGATACGTCATCGGCGTACGCAGAAACCCTGGCTCGAGCTCCTCCAGGAACGGCGATTCCGCGTAGGGCCGGACTGCACGCCCTGTCCCTCAGCCGGCGAAGGAGAGGCTCCAACGCCAAAGCGTAAAGTCGGGGCGACAGCGGGCAACCCTGACGAACCGACCTAGACAGCGCAAAAGCGCCCGACAGCTTCCCGTTCACCTGTACCACAGCATTGGGGGAGCGATACAGGAGGCTAATCCAGCGGCAGAAGTCGGGTGCGAATCCGGCGGCTTGCAGGACAGCAGCAAGGTAGCGATGGTCAACCCTATCAAATGCCTTGGACTGATCCAAATTGATCAGCGCGGCTCTCTCGTCGTCTTTTACTCCCTCTATGATCGTGCGGATCAAATGCAGGTTGCTCTGAATTGTTCGACCCCTCACAGCGCAGGTCTGCTCGGGACCCAACAGAGATTCGGCAACTGACTGCAAGCGCTCCTGCAGGATCTTGGCCAAAATCTTTAACTCTGTGTTTAGCAGAATTATGGGCCTGTAGTCGTCTAGTTTCCCCCCCCCACACCCTTGCCCTTTTTCAACAGCGTGATCACACCCCTGGAGAACCGGTCGTGGAGGGACCCCTGCCGGAACCAGTTGTTGAACACAACCGTCAAAATCTGGAGAAAGATGTGCGACAGCCTCAAGTACACTTCATAGGGCAGACCATCCAGTAATCTCTCCCTCGCAGCTAGCCGCTTCAGTCGGCGAAAGCCGAGGAAAGTCAGCCAAATAGCTGCGAAACTCGTCCTCACGAAGACCAGGCTCCTTGGTAAAGCGGCTCTCGAAATGCCGCCGAAACGCCTCGCACATGTCGTCAGTGGCCCGAAGGGTACGCCCCTCCGGGGTTTCGACTTCACGAATGTAACGATCGCCACCTCGACGGACCTCTTCCCTGCGCAAATCTGCGCCCATATTCACGGATTCGGAAGACATCTTGCTTAACCTATGTCTAATTACCTGGCCCCATGTAGCGCTCGCTATTCAAACGCTCCAGGGCCTCCTTAGCTACGGCTATCTCTAGGGGATCCCCCCAGCCACCGCCCGGGAATAACTAGCTTTAAGTGTCCTCACCTTATCAGCTCTATCTAGGGCGAGCCGTTTGCTGAAATCCGTGGTGAAGGACCTAATTCTACATTTAAGTCTGTCCTACCACCTATTCCCGATAACCGCCCCCACTAGCTCCCGCTGCACTAAGTTAGTCACCTGCTCCCGGAAGTCCTGCCTGTCCAGTAAAGACAGATTGAACTTCCAGTAACCAGCCATTCTAGGCCTATGTTCTAACGCCACACGGGCACAAACGAGTTTGTGGTCCGTATAGCCTACCCAGTGGAACGTGGGACAATCTAACAGATCTATGTCGTGGGACAATCTAACAGATCTATGTCTCACTAACATTCTGTCAAGGTAGCTAACTACCTTGTCACAAGGCCAGCTACGAGCCCACGTCCACATTTTCCCCCCGGGGTGATCGACCCGGTATCTATCAACGAGACCGAAATCTTTGATCAGATCGACCAGGCTACGATCGCCCCTTCTCCCGCTAGCACCCCGCCCCTATCTATCTTGGGGTCCAGGATGGCATTCCAGTCCCCCACTAGAACTAAGCGCTTGGAATCCACCAGGAAAGGCTCCAACCGCCAAAAAAACGAA